GGCGAATACGAAAGAGAGTTCAAAGCAAAAGAACGAAAGAATGATACAAGTTTCGATATTCACAGAGTTCGATAGAATATTTCCAGAGTTTGAGGAAATGTTGGGTAGAACACAGGGCAACACAGGTATATAAAGGCGTTGCTACCATGCACAAGGATCAGTTGTGAACAGCGCAGTGAGCTATCGAGTGACGTTTTAAGAGAGGCAAGTACCTACTGTATGTGTGTAGGTATTAAGCTGTAAAATATTGAACGTAAAGTTGTGCGGTAATCTTGCTTGTGTTTTTTTTTATCGTTCTTCTGATTGAAGCTAAGAATGATGAAGAAGAAAGTCGCTGATAAATAATTTTCAAACACCTACTTTTGTATACAAATATTTGCACGTCTACATATAGTATTTGCATTTGTAATCTAAAGAGGTAAAGTGCAAAAAAAAAGAATGCATTAAAAATTAAAAAAAAAAACGCTTTTCAACAATAAAAGTTACGTTTGCACGCAAGATGCACGGCTAGCTATTCACGAGTAGAACGAAATTTTCAAAACAAATCATGTGCATCCAGTGGTGGCTACTATGTGTCAATAGAAAATATCAATCAATCATTCACTCGTTTATTAAGTCAATAGGTATGCATGGCGTCGATCGGCGTTGGCGACCAATGCGAATGTCAACGAACGATGTTAAGTAGCCATATTTTCTTTAAGAGAACTGTTAGTGCAAGTAGCAGCAGGTTGGCAACCTGTCGCAAAATGTTTGAAAGGGTGTACGAATTATTCTGCAGTATTTATATTGTTTATATGTATGCATAGGAATGCACTGCAGCGATGTTAGTTTGAAGAACTTATAGAAAATTGTTTTAAATGCGAGGAAACATAATTTTTTTTTAATAAGGGGGACCTCCATAACATGCGTATTCGTATGCGTGCGTTTGACATTTACGCTTAGAAGTAAAAATCCATACAACGTTCTTACGTTTTCATGAGTTGCTACGCATGTGCTGCCATAAAAATTTGTATATTAAATTTTTCTGTAAAACGCTCGCATACGTATACGCATGCAATGGAGATCCCTCTTCAAAACCCATATAAATATAAATTTAAAATTTTGTTTTTTTTTTTGCTGACGGCAACACGCACGTTTTTCCCTATAAACAAATTGTTTGTATGAAAGAAAGTGTCAGCTAAAAAAAAAAATATAAACAATCAACCGAATTTTTCCTCTTATTATACTTAAATTTAATAACCTATATAACTGCTTGCCAACAGAAATTTGGAACTGTGATGAAAAGTTTAAGTTTATAGAATTTCTCTAGTTTTTATATTGAGTCTAAATTTGGATCTACAATGCCGCACTAAATTATTGGCACTGGGAATTTTTCACAATATATGAAAAAAACTTACTTTAATTTTTTTCCGCTTATGTTTTATGGAAATATAAATCATACCGCAACAAAAAAAAAACAAAAATTAAATCTCTCAACTTTGTGCAAAACTCAGGTAAATTTATTAAATTTGCAACTTTTTAATCAGATTTTCAACAAAAATTTTAAGTGTGTAGCCCATTCAATTTTCATGTAACAAAGTGCAAGTGTGAAGTTTGTGAAAAATCGCGTTGATTTTCGCCAATTTTTTTTCTCGCAGTTTCGTCCTAATAAAAAAATGTTCCAACATATTTTATATTGAAGAAAGTGCGTGTAAAAAATTGCAAAAATTCAACAAGATTTTTTTCTACCAACTTCAAACTTGCATTTTGAATTAAGAATTTTCAAGTTTATTAAATTTTCTCAAAGTTGAGTTTTTATTTTAAGGTTTTTTGTTGTAGCATGAAATTTGTTTTTATAAAAAACCAGCGGAAAAAAATTTAAGTAAAAAATTTTGCATACATTGAGAAAAATTCCTTGTGGCAATAATTTAGTGCGGCATTGAATGTACTTTTATAAGCAAAATAATATGAAACATGAAAAAAAGCAAAAGAAATATTATCAAAACTGGTTAAAATGTTGATGTGTTATCTTTTGTCGCGAGCTGTATACTTAGTATATTTACATACATATATTTACGAATGTACATATGCATATGTATTAGAGCGTACCACCTTACAAGGAAAAAAAGTTTGCGGTACACCCGTGCAATATCTAAAATACTTTTGCAAGCCAATTTCAAAAAAAAAAAAATAAAAAATTTGGGCGAACCTAGGGGTCGCCTTTCACAGCCGTATCTTAAAGTTTAATATATGTATATATGTTTTTGTATTTTTTTTTTGTTCCAAGAACGGGACATTCTATTACTGACCACCTTAACGTACCATCCTAATGTCAGTAAATTAAAGCTTGCCAAAATTAATTAAACTTTTGTTAAGGAAGGGGCGACCAGTAAAAAAAATTGTTTTTCGAAGTTGCACAAATACTTTAGACTGGGATATGTGCGTATGTTCATTTGGGAGGTCCTTAAAAAATATCAAAATTTTAACTTTCTATGTGCAAAACAAATACTTCCACGAACATTTCCAGGCTTGAAAAAATTTAAATCTGATAAATTTTACGTATTACTGAAAATTTATCATATACAGTGTCGGTCATATAATTGGCATCCAAATTTTAAAGTGATATTGTTTGTCACTCATGTCTATATATTTATTTTTAAGAATTTTCAAATAAAATACAACTCACTATTTAACAAAACCCATATCAATCCAAGTTTAAAACTTTGTAGAAAACTAAAAAATATAAACTCAACAAATTTTTATCCAAATATAAAACTTTTTTCTCAGGAGTGTTGAAATTTGTTTGAGTATACTGTTTTATAGCCCATTCAATTTTAGTATGTATGTAGTAATTTATGGTCTTAACATTGTACACAAGACTGTACATATTCCGTTGCAGTTGAAGGCAATACCACCTCAATGTCGATTTTATTGCATATCTGTGGACCTTTGATCAAACAACTTCTCTCGAGTCGAGGTCATTCAAAAGTAATAATAAAAATGTTAAATTTTTAAATGAAGTTCCTTATAACTTTTAACTTAACTTTTTTTAACCTACTGAAAGTCCACAGATATGTACATTAGGGAGATTCAGAAAAAAAAATTTTTTTTCTCGGAACCACGCTCAAAAGTTTCGTTTAGACGCCTAAATAGGTTTCAGAAATGAGCCCTTAATATTATTTAATATTAGGAATGTTTACATCGCACTTTTCGATTTCCCATAAGAATAACACAGGGAAAATATTTTTATTTTTGTTCTTATTTTTATATTTAACTAACGATACGTTGTACCGTAAAGGTCTTGGAATATTTTTTGGAAATAGTATTGAACGCTCTACAAAAAAGTTTTGAAGTCATTTATCAGTAAGTCAACTCGGTAAAAAGTCGAATTCAACATTGTGCAATACTCTACAAAAATACTCCAAGACTTTTACAGTACAACGTATCGTTCCTTAAATATAAAAAACTGAAGTAAAAAAAAAACAATTTTTCCTGTATTATTCTTATACGAAATCGAACGATGCGGACATTTTTAATATTAATATTAACGGCTAATATTTTCGGGGCATGGTTCCGAGGAAAAAATAAATAAAAAATTTTCCTGAATCACCCTAATGTTATGTACATTCATAGTATGTAAGTAAGTGCACATACATTAGAGTGGTCCAATTTTTGTATGGGGAAAAAATTCATCCTAGAGAACGGGCGCCCCTTAGATTTTTCGTTTTGATATTCGTAATATATATTACCAACTTTCAGTTTTCTACTGCAACCAATACAGGGTGCTCAATGACCTTGAAATGCGATACTGGATCGCTGTGAAACTGGCAAAAATATTGGCGATTTTTATAAAAAGCTACTGGTGCCATGACAACTGAAGCTTGTAATATTTTAACAGATAATTTAAATTTGAAATGTTCTTAGGTTACTTAAACAATTGTTTGTTTTATATATTTGTACTTCTAGAGTAAAATATGAGCATCATGAGCATCCTCTAAATGGAAACTTAGGAACGTAAGGCTTAGTACCAGCACCTCTTTTGGCAAGAGGAAAAATTTTGGAAGGTGTCCCAAACCCTATTTGGGACAAACATTTTTTGGACCACTCTAATATACATACATATGTATGTATGATTTATATCTACCCGTATACATATGTAAATGCATTTGTATAATTATGCATGTCTGCTTTGAATTCAAATTGAGGCACATCACATACAAAATAAATATGCATGCAATGTTCTATTGAAAGTAGCTTGTAATTATTGACACTGATTCTAAATCAAGCAAAAAACAACGAATTAAACACAATTTTTGTTCGACGCTTTTCAGTTGTCTTTAACCAAACTGATTAGTGATGCTATGTGCAGTTTGTACCCGCCTTTCAATTAGTACATTATTAATGTGGTCTATTATTGTTGTTGTACAAGCTGTAATATTCCGTAATGTGTTGTCAGAAATTTCCATTAAGGTGAATGCATATGAAAAAACAAAAGCATAAAACGCAAATAATAATAAAAAAAAATTTTATGTTCACTCGTTCGCACAAGCAGTCAATCAGAGTGAGCCTCCACCTATATGCATAATGCAATTAAACCTGTTTAAATTTATCGCAGCTTAGCCTTAACAGCGCCAGTGCTTGCAACAATAACACACATTCATACGTGCAAATTCACGATAATCACTTAAATGCGTGCGCGCGTTTGTGTGTGTGTGTGTAACTGTAATAAAAACTTAGGGAAGCGTTTCTGCACTGCAACACCAGCGTGGAATCATTTTTAATACCCTTGTTGGCATTGAAAATCCGGGTTTAATCCCTTTGTTTCCTCGATTTTGTTATCATTATTCCTTTACAGTTTTACGTTGCATCTGGGGAATTCCTCCAAATGGAGCGTTAAAAGAGATTGTTGTGCATTCGCTTGATATTTAACTTTTTTTTTTGTATTGATTACTTGCGACAAAATACAAAAACAAAATAAGAAGGAAAATAATCAACGCTTTTTTCCTTTCGTTTATTTACAGCTAGCATCATTACTGTACAGTAAAAGGAGACGTACGTCAAAATGGCTGTTATACTAGACGAAGTCTACGACTGGTACAGAGATCTCATGGACAATCGCAGTGGTGAGTGGAATTTATAGTCCATTAAACTTAGCCAAGGTCATAAAAGCTGAAAAAAAACATTCCTTTATTTTAATGAGCTTGCAGTTGTCAATTAAGATTATAAATATAATGCTGATATGCTTTAATGGTGTACAGTTTACGCCAAAAGAAGTTTTTAAAAGCACTTTATTTCGTTTTCTGCCCAAAAAGAGAAAGACACAAAAGTTCTACAGTGGTGGTACTATGATGTTACCACGGAAATTTAGAGTTTGAGAAAAATGTCCTTAAATTTGATCTACACATCCGCGATAACTATTAATTTGTTCAGAATTAAATCATCAGAATCAAGAGATATATTTTCATACAGTCAAGAGTCCGCCCATCCTAACGTTTTCTGTCCTGTTGGATAAGAGTTGCTTTGTTTGGGCAATAAACTCTTTCAAGCTCTCGCAAGTTGGCGGAACCGAACGGCTTTATACCCGCCCGCAAAAGGTTCTGAAAGTGTCGCACAGTGTAACGTCGCCGTATAATCAGTGGCCAAAAGTAGAAGGTGTGATCGCAGATGAATGAAATTTTGCACAGAGGGTTGGTAGGTACAGTTATGTGAAAAATAATAGGGACACGGCCTTTTTGACCCGTTTTGGCTATGTTTGTTTGTTTGTTTAACCAATACTTCTCTTTTTATCTTTGCTTAAATTTCTGCAGAGGCTAATCTGTACATTAGTAATACGATTCCTGATAATTGCCTCTAGAGTGGTTAATATCCATATGTAGATACATATGTACATTAGGTTGGTCCAAAAATGCATGTGGGGAAAAAAGTAAAGTGCGAATTTTAATGCTCTCACTCCTTAGAATAGTTTTTGTATTGAAAAAAATATACTGTTTTTTCATTGCGAAACCCAAAATATTTAGAGGTCACTCAAAGCGCTCAAAGTTTTACATACATAAATATATAGGGAAACAACAAGTTTTCGTGGAAATCGTATAGCATTCTTGAAAATCAATGTTTTTCGATCGGAAAACTCTTTTCTACTTCAGCATGCTTCCAATAATATAAACAATTATTTATTTTACCATTTTATAATAAATTTTTTGGATTGAACTTTTTGCATTGGAATTAAAAAATTTAATTTAGAATGAGATGAAAATATTAATATCAGCGTAATTAGCGTAAGACGCGCCTTATTATTTAAATATCTTGGCATAATTTTGTATGCTTTTGCAAAAATATATTACTAATTTCTGCCAAATCAACCCTTTGTTCAGTAACTATGAATTTTGTCCAATGTGGCTATTCAATGTTTTATTGTTTTGAATTTGTTTTATAACCGAATTAAAATAATGCCGTTTTTCATTTACAGATCCACGTGTCAAAGATTGGCCTTTGATGTCATCGCCATTTCCCACCTTAGCACTCTGCGTATTCTATGCCTACTTCAGCAAATCGCTTGCGCCGCGCCTGATGGCGAAGCGAAAAGCCTTGGACTTGCGTAAAGTACTTGTCTACTACAATCTCTTTCAGACAATATTCAGCGCGTGGATTTTCTATGAGGTATGTTAGGAACAAAATAAAAATCTAATAATGGAAGGATTAATGAATTTTTAACCTTTTTAAGTACTTAATGAGCGGTTGGTGGGGCAACTATAGTTTCAAATGTCAACCTGTTGATTACTCTAATAGTCCATTGGCTATGCGTGTAAGTATTTAATTTAAACTACATAATAGTGTATTTTGCGTGCACTCAAGGGAAACGCTGAACGCTGATGAAGATATACAATTATAAATTATCGCAGTAGAATCGGCTGCTACTTAATAGACTATGCAAATGCTCTTAATTCCCCTTCATACATACATACCCACCTACATATGTACATCTGTAGATTCATAGTGAATTTATATTTTAATTTATATCCTCTTTCGCATTTTCAATCGCAGATGGCACGCACCTGTTGGTGGTATTACATTTCCAAATTCACAGAGTTCTTTGACACGATATTCTTTATATTGCGTAAGAAAAACGAACACGTCTCAACGTTGCATGTCATTCATCATGGCTGCATGCCCTTCTCCGTATGGATGGGCATGAAATTCGCGCCAGGTAAAATTACGCTTTTTCTATTGCTACATATTATGCTTCATAAATTATGCTCACAATTTCACAAGAAAATCGTATATAGAATTTTGCAAGTCGTACGCTGTAGTAGTGGTAATCTCGCTAAATCGCTTAAAATTTAATATATTGCAGGTGGCCACAGTACATTCTTTGCCTTGTTGAACTCCTTTGTGCACATTATCATGTACTTCTATTATATGATTGCTGCAATGGGTCCGAAATACCAGAAATTTATATGGTGGAAAAAGTATCTTACCACTTTCCAAATGGTATGTTGTTTAATTATCTTAATTAAATGGGCATATGCATATAATATCAGATGACGTTTTATTTTAGGTACAATTTGTCGCCATTTTCACTCATCAGTTCCAGTTGCTTTTTAGAGATTGCGATTATCCTAAAGGATTCATGGTTTGGATCGGCCTGCATGGCATTATGTTCCTGTTTCTCTTCTCTGACTTTTATAAAGCCAAGTATACAAATGCACGCGTGCGCAGTGCGGCGACAAAGGCCAATACAAATGGCTACACTAAAATACCTGCGACGAATGGCAAATGTGCGCCAACAAGCAATGGCGATTTGTCCAATCATTTAGTGGCGTCGAATAATAACAAGGGTGCTTGTATGGTGAGTATTATAAAACTTGTAGATGGTAAACCATTTCTATGGGAGCTGAGCATAAAGTTTTACCACTAGAAAGCCATTTTTTAAATTTTTTTTATGTAGTAGAATGTTAAGTGGCTTGTGTGGCCCTTTTTTACATAAAACGGTGAACAATGTTATGTTGTTTTTGTAACAGCATACAAGTTCCCATAAGAGTCACAGTCTATGTGTACCATTTGCAAATATTGACATATCGTAGGAGACTTTTCCTTACATATTTCCTTGGAAATGTACCTAATATATATTTTTTAGCTTTAAACAGTTTAATCTCTACTTCTCTGCGGTAGCAGCAGAGAAATTACCGAGCATTGTTAGGCTTTGTGGGCCCTTCCATGTACATTGGTGATGTTCATACGATATCAGAAACCATCTAGTTGCTATCCCGAGTACGTTGCTCAGACAGGTTTTTATACTCGTAGGCGCAGCACAGTTTAGAAGCGGTCGGCCAATGGACTTGTATGTTGTGCCAAATTTTCTTTGTTTCTGCCCCAAGTGCTGCCGGCGAGCGATTTAAGCACACTGTTGCGGCCCTGTGCTTTATTGACAATTGCGGTTGTGGGCGCGGAGAAAAAGAACAATCTGTCAAAGGTAGCCACTAAAATTTTCGAGTTATAAACCGTCGGTATTGGTATGCCCTCTACGTCGATGACTAATCATTGTTGCTTGACCTCCTTCGTACAGGTCGCGATAAGCGTTTCGTTATTTTTGTAGCGAAGATGGTAACGCTTCTCACATAAAAGAATCCAACAAGATCGGACAGATAGACATTTGCTTTCAAACGTGGAAGTTTCGTGATGTTGAAGTTAAACAGTAGTGGCGAGAGGGCACCACCCTGTGGGACGCTACAGCTCATAGTTTCTGCTAGCACATTTCAGTACTAATGAGATTTTAAATTTAGAAGAAAAAATTTTGTTTGCAATTATATTTTTTATAGCATGTAGAAAAATATCTTTTGGTATTGGTATCCTGGACTGACTGGATTTATAGATAAAATGAATTCAGTAAAAATATCTGTATGCATTTTTTTTTATGTTACTGCAATGTAAAATTAATGCAGAACACCATGAAACTTTAAGTGAAATTCTAAAACGTTGAATAATTTTTTTTTTTTTAAATACGTGCTGGATTGCCTTCACTAAATCAATTAATGTAAATTAGCTTTCATGTTTTACAACGCAGCCAATAACAATTATATGTATTTTATACGGATTTTTATTGATATATTTTTTCAAGTATTAACAAGACCTTTTGCTTCCCAAGTTCTATGTACGCATTACTCTTCATACTTCAACCCTTTCGTTTTCAATTAGCAGGCATAAAAACGGCTGCCCTTCTATTAGTTAATTACCATTTTTGAGCACATACTGAATATGTTGACTGGTTATTCAGTAATTTAAAGAGTGCTGCAAATACTTAAATGCGTGCCAAGTGCTTAAGCAAACGAGACTAATTACAGAACTAAACATTGAATACTTAACTAACGCGCAGGTGCCAATTTGTTGAGTAATTTTCATTGTCGTTGTTTTATTTGCATATTTATGTACTTAAAAGTCCTCCTCTACTTTTTTAATGCTTTTTAACAATTGTTCAAGTAAATGTTTGTACCACTATAAATCAATGTCTAAAGTGTATTCGGGCTTAAGGTTGGGGGAGTCAGGTGCTATCAAGCTTATTATATGCGTACGTAGAAATATTGCCACCAGGAGCGGTGGCCGCTAATGAAATAATGACTAAAATTAAAATGTCTCCTGTGGGAAAGAATTATTTTGCTGTTGCGAAGTGCTGAAAGTGGTTCAAAGTCACTTTAAAATGTTTTTCTCTATGAGTATTTAAGAATTTCAGGATGTTAGAAAAATTTTAAATCTGGTGTCTACCGGAGCTACGGTCGGTTTGTCCCAGACAACTCGAAAAGTAAATTTTTACTGTTACAGAGCGTTATTTACCTTTTACTCTAAAATCAATTTAAACATTTGAATTATAGAAGTAATAAAATAACTGCAAACACACGTAAATAAATAAAGATTTTTTTTCGGTTTTCTAACAATCTATATATATATATATATATTTTTTCAATTTTAAATTTTACAGCCCGTCATGGATGATGATGAAGTCGAGGTCATCAAGTCAAACCATCACTTAACCAATGGCTATAAGAATGGCTTCGCTAATGGCCATGCATTTAAAGAGGGTGACGGTGTACTCTCATCAAATGATGCTATACTAAATCCAGATAGCAGTAGCTCTAGTCTACATCAGCGGAAAGTCAAATAAGCATAAAGTGTAACAAACAATTGAATAATAATCATACAAACTATAAGAAAAGCAACAACAAGCAAATTGTAGTTAGCATTAGGGTATACATATATGTATTCATAAAAAAAATGATTATTTTTTATATATACATAAATTATATATTTAATAATTTAAAAGCGAGTAAAAAGGAGCTTTTATATCTAAAAGTTGGAAATGGAAATACAAGAAATAATTATAATTAAAATATATACAATAGAGCAGCAACAAAGAAGAATAAGTTCTAAGGTCTAGTATGCATGTATGTCTAGAACTAATTTAGAATCACCAAGTTGTTCAAATAATTTGCAATAGATATGTTAATGTATGAACAAAGCGAGCAAAGAAAAAATCATACATAAAGTTGCTCACGTATATTCGTTATTTAGTTTTTTTTTTTCAAAATGTTTTCCATTATAAATCTTTGGCGTTAATTTTTATTAAAAAAAAAACAAAAACCATTAGTCAGTGTTGCAAGCTTTTTATAAAATTAGAAAAAAAAAATCAGCGAATTTCAAAAAATGGTCATTAAACGTTCAAACTTTTTAAAAAGAGATGTTTATTATCCAAAAATAAGCGTTGATTTTTGAAAACAGTTTTCGTCGACAGTGTTGCCCGTTTTTTTTTTTCATATAAAATGCGCAACATCGTCATTATACGGAAATCGAACTACAAACCTGCATACCCCAAAATGGTCAAATTCTGATTAAACAGTTTGAAATTTTGATAACCATTTTTGTAAATTCTCTGAGTTTTTCTGAATTTTGTACGAAAAATATTTATAAAGGATAACCTTTTGAACATTATGAAAACACTAAATAACGAATACTTCTGTGAATAACTGTATGTACAAATATAAGTATCATCAAAGAGAAACAAAATTTTATTTAAGTACATCTGCATACATACATGTATGTATGTATGTAAAGAAAATGATCAGGCCCCCAATCGTGGCATTCGATATCGAACGCACTAGAATTGCAATCTGATTTTTAGATCAAGGATTCTAGCTCGCCTCGCCAGTTTAAGTTGCATTGTGGAGAAAGCAGCTTCGATTCGATTCGAAACGAGAAATCATTCGATCACGAATGCCGCGATTCGGACCCAGAATTCACTACTTTCTAGTAACTTAAGAAAAATATGTGAAAAAGAGAAATTGAAGAGTCATGAAAGGCCATTGTTTTACGAGCATGAGCATCCAAAAGAGTATTTTACGTACTGCACGCGCATAAATTTTGAAAAAATAAAATCAAATAAGAAGCAAAAAAAAAATCAAGAAACAGAACAAAATTTATCTTAAAGTTTACACAAAAACCACAAAACAGCAGGGAACTATTGTTAATACATATTAAACCACAACTACTACTTCTACTATGTACAAAAAAAAACACAACTGCTACCAATCATCACTACTACCACCAAACAAATTTCATTTAAATTTTTTATCCCAATTTTTACAGAGTAGTTAGTAATTAAACTGCTGCATGCGCGTTATTAGACCCCACAGTTCACCCTGTGTGTGTTGTAGTAAAGCGCATGCGCAATGCGATTTTATACTTATACGCCCACCTACCTACATATCGTCACATGCAATGCAAAAAGACGAAACAACATCGTACAAGAAATAGATAAAGTCATGACTAATGATTTAATTTTTTTTTTTGCATAAAATGATGTGGGGAGTTGTAATTCGATGAAACCCATTATATAAATCAAAAAGTCAATTTTTGAATCTTTTATTAGTTATGACTTTTTGCATTTCCACGATGATGTTTGTTACGTCTTTTTGCATTTCAGGTAATGGATACGTACATCTTCTACCTACTTACGTTTGTGTATATGTGTTTTCAAAAAGATTAATTAAAGATAATGCAAATTTTGGTATTCGATATGATAACATGTAAAATTAAAAATACATTTCGGGGATGTACTAGATGGATTAACGAGTGGTATTGTTGTAATATGTAACATAAATTTTATAACATTTATAAATTTGTAGTTTAAGTTGATAATCACAAAATATTTCCAACTGTTATAAAATGTATGCAACAATTATGCCAGTATGACTTGTGCATGACACCTCCTCGATCCCCACTTGCATGTGCTAAGAAAATACTATCTAGATATACATATGTATGTATATAAAATGGAGGAGGTATACCACTTTGTGGACAAGCGAGTAACTAATTAACAAATTAAATCTATACCAATACTATATGTATGTATATACAAATACTTAGTTAGCTGCGTCCTATTAATCAATCAATATACTCTTTGTATATAATACCATGGAACACACAAAGCATATGTGTGTGCATACAAAACTTTCGTATACGAAAGCAATATGTACATATGTATGTATATAAATATGTGTGTAGTTAGCGAGAATAGATTTTACCTAGGTAAATGAATGCATAGAAGTTACTGCTTTTCTAGTAAATAAAAGTCAAATGCAATTTGAATGTTACATAGACAAAAATGAAAATTTTTATTGAAAATGATTAATGTAAAATTTTTTGTGCGAGATTTGTTAACATTCTATATATAAGTATGTATTATGTGTTTACATCTTGTAAGCATCCATGAATTCTGTCGAATAGTTGCTACAAAACTAGTACATATTTACACTACTTTTGCAAGGGTAATTGGTATTTCTATTTGGTTTTGTTTTCCGTTGTGAATTTGCGTTAATCTTCATTTGATCTATACTTTTTTTTGTTGTATAATACTACATACTACTGCTACGCTTAATTATTTTTTGCATACTATTTAAGGTTAATGTGCCTAATGCGTCTACTTTATATTGTAATTTTGTAAAGTTACTTAGTGTAATTCTGTTTCTTTGAATAAAATCATGAATCCATCAAGAAATCGTTCACAAAAGAGACTTATTATTCCTCGACGAAGCTTCACCTTTATTCTACTTCACCCGGATCCACATCTCCCCAATATCAGCAGGCATTTTTTTTTTGAATTCACGTTGAACATAAAGTTACAAACATAGTTACGAAACTATATTTTCGATATATAGTATTTCTGCATTTCTAGCACAAAATGGTAAGATAACCGACTTATTAGTCGATTATGGTTGGCAACGCAACTGAAATGAAAATGTATATTATGAATAGCAACTATACTGAAGAACTGGAATTCTAGCACAGAAATCAACTGCTCTTTTTCTTGATAAATTATCCACCTTAAAAATGCTATAGACAAGCGTTTACAAATTGATATTTCATATGAAAATTATACATTTTGTATATTAAAAAATTTTTTCTATCATTCAAATACTGCATGTGCTGGCATTTGAACCTGGGACACACAGAATTTATAGCCGACATCTCTACCTACTCGACTACGGCAGTCAAAAGCTTTCTTGCTTTTAAATTCATATTTTTCATATGTGCCAATGAAATCAGTTCCACTCATGTGGAGATCAGTTCCCCTCTTGTGGAAATCGTAGAGCTTTTTATTTTATAAATTTTGACACAGAATGCGATGGGAGCTTTCACTTGATTAAAACTTGATAAAATTTCTTTACAAATAATTTATCAAGAAAACACAGAATTGGGTGGTAAGTCTGTTTAACCAGGGTGCGGCTTTTAGTACTGCTAAAAGTCTTATAAGCAACCTACAAATAATTTTAGATTCCTCCAGCGAAAACGAAGGCTCGGACGTAGAATCTGGAAACATTAAAAAATATGAAATTATAGCTCAATTGAAGGCGCATCTTAGAGAAAAACGAGCTCTTCTCGGTGAAAATCCTCTCGATTGGTGGGAAACTAAACTAAAATACGACAAATTGACAGATCTGCCCGGCAAATATTTGAGCGCCGGCCTTATGCGGGACAAACAATAATTTTACAAATTTTTTCCATAAAAGCTAACAGATCGTAACACCTTAAATGATCTTAGATGTATGTATTAGCCCGGAAACAGCATTCTTATAGTAACATCACAATTTGTTAAATATCTTTTCTCGAGGGGTTCACTCCAAAAAACTTTTTACAAAAGCTTCGTTAAATTTTAGTGCGATAGAGTGCAAGTTTTAAGTAGCTAGGAGTTACCTTTAATTGTTGTCAATTTTTTTGTGTCCACGGAGCTATGAACTTTTTTCAGGCAAGGTAAGTATGCTCCACAATTTGTTGATAGGGGAAGAAAATGAGCGGCTCGTTGCACTTGCACTCTATTATACTAAACTTTAATGAGCTACAAAACTGCAACCACATTTCTTTCTAAAGGTTCTGATTAAAAAGTTTTAAATTTCGGTGAAAATTTGCAGAATTAATTCTCATAGTTTTTGCACAAAGTCGGAAATTTCGATTTATATGGTTTTTTTAAAACAAAATAGCCGTACTTAGCTAAAATGAAGAATCCTAATTTATATTTTGGACACTGTATGTGCTCCTCGATTCGAAACACAGGCGTTCAGACTGGTTCATAGGCATGCCATTTTAATGAGCTTTTAAGACGTCGAAATACTGAAATCCGAATACGGGACAAATACAGGACATTAAAAGAAATACAGAACATTTGGCGTCCCGTATAAAATAAATTAATTGCCAAGACAATTGGCCAAAAAAGAGGATTGTCGCTATAATACAGGACGAGAGATTACTATAAGAGTTTAACACAATATCAGGCCGATTCTGAACAGAAACTCCGTCGGAGTGTTCTCTCTTTTCCCTTTCCTTCTATCAGCTAGGCCATCTATGCACTTGCTGCGTGAAATTGGTAGATCTTATTTGGCCCACCCTGTACTTAATAGTAAAAGCCCTTTTAACTCATCACTCCGAACTTGACGCATCTATGATCTTATCAAATACGTAAATCGATGCAAAATATCTCAGAAACAAAAAACACACAGCACTGCATGCATAGTAAGTACACAAAGAAGAAAATAAATCGTAAACATTTGCGAAAATATACATACGTCAATAGCAAAAAGCATTAGCTACTTAAAAGTGTTGGCCAAAAGCATTGACCCTTTCAGATACTCAATTAGGTGGAGCTTATACATACATATGTATGTACGTATAAAAAGTGCTTTACCTAATCGCCAATCAAAGGTTCTAACTAATTAGCATTGCAGGTGCTCAACAACGTAAAAATATTTAGCGCTCCCATTTTTTTGCTAAGCGTTTGGCCGAGCTTCTACTCCAATTAGCGGCGTCAAATTTGTTATACCAGTGGTGAGACCTAAAGTTTTACACAGACGGGTTTGTATGAAAAGCATTTTCATTGCAGAACTACTCTGCAGTGAAACCACAAACTAGTCAGGAAAAATACTAGTTTACAACTGGAATTTCCTGATTAAAACCGAACTAGTTCGAAAATGACCAGACTTTTACCAAGTACAAAACGATTTATTCGTGCCCGGTTTTATTTGACCTCGACAGTTTAATACAATAAAGTACACAAAATATTATAAGCCATTAAAGC